AGAATTGAGAACCCGTGATCTCTGGTGATGTGAATACTTTACCCTGACTTTAACTCAGTAGTTTTGCCACTAGAGGGCAGTGTCCATCTTATAAATATCATGTATGGTCTCAAATTTTGCATATAGGTACAATGTGTCTATTACTTAACAAACACTTTATTTAATAAAGTGATTATCACAAGCATAAACATATTTTAGGTGAAATTGTTTTTAGGCCTAATTAAACACTTTTTAAGGCAAGACTTGCAGGTTGATAGAGTAAAAAAATTATATTAAACACAATAGAACCCCAGTTAATTGATTGATTGAATCATTCATTCTTTCATTCATTTTCTTTTCGGCTTAGTCCCTTTATTAATTTGAGGTCGCCACAGCGGAATGAACTGCCAACTTTCCCAGCATTTGTTTTACACAATGGATGCCCTTCCAGCTGCAACCATTCACTAAGAAACAACCATACTCATTCACACACTTAAACTACAGACAATTTAGCCTACCCAATTCACCTATAGTGCATGTCTTTGGACTGTGGGGGAAACCCACGTGATCACAGAGAGAACATGCAAACTACACACAGAAATGCCAACTGACCCAGCAGAGGCTCGAACCAGCGAGCTTCTTGCTGTAAGGCGATGTGCTACCCACTGCGCTACCGTGACGCCCATTAATTGATTATTATTTAATATGCAACTAAGGCATCATTAATGCTAATTATTAATGCAAATGTGCATACATTTCTAGCACAAAAATTGAACATTAAAGTTCAAATTTTTATTTTTTTTTTTTTAAGGTTTTCATAGAGGAGATTTTGGGAATATTGTTTTATTTCTATATGATTAAGATAATGCTGCAAACATTTTTTTTGTAGAATAAAATGTTGTATACAAGCATGTATAATGTATCAACAATTCCCTTTTTATTAACAATTAGAATATAGGTATTAATTAAATTGTGAACTTTGGGTTAGGTACTGTATGTCCTTCTAAAGAAAAGATTTATGGCAAAGAGAAAGCAAAAATAAAATAAAATAAAATTGAGATATGTACAGTTGAAGTCAGAATTATAAGCCCCCCTGAATTATTAGCACCCCCCCCCCCCCCCCGTTTGTTTTTCCCCCCAATTTCTGTTTAACGGAGAGAAGATTTTTTTCAACACATTTCAAACATAATAGTTTTAATAACTCATTTCTAATAACTGATTTATTTTACATTTGCCATGATGACAGTAAATAATATTTGACTAGATATTTTTCAAGACACTTCAATACAGCTTAAAATGACATCTAATGGTTTAACTAGGCTAATTAATTTAGCTGGGCAGTTTATGGTAATTAGGCAAGTTATTGTATAATTTTGACTTTTGTAAAATTAAAAACTGCTTTTATTCCTAGCAAAATAAAACAAATAAGACTTTCTCTAAAGGAAAAAAATATTATCAGACATACTGTAAAAATTTCCTTGCTCTTTTAAACATCATTTGGGAAATATTCAAAAAAGATTAAAAAATAATCAAATGGGGGCTAATAATTCTGACTTTAACTGTAGATTTTGAAATATGTAATGTAATTGACATCTGTAGAGACAAATAAACAAAGTACTAAAAAATAAAAAAGACAATATATTTAATTGAAAAAACACTTTATAAAAAGGCCAAAATCTAAAAATTGATAAGTAAATGAAAAAAATAAATAAATGTTTTTTTTTTCTTGCAGAATCTCTCCTTAAAGTTTTAAAAATGACACATTTCAACAAAACATCATCATAAATCAGTCATTCAATCAAACAAGCAATCAAAATATACCAACATAATCTAAAACTGGAAGCCATCCAGCTGAATCAGTAGTATTGTAACAGTAGTACAGTGAGTTTTTCTCCAGCAGGAATCTCCTTCTTCGTGGACTTTCTCACACTTGGTCCTGTTGCACACATCCTAAGGCACTCGCTCTCAATTCTATAGACGGCTCTGTCTGTTCCAGAGTGCTTTGTTCCCAGTCTCCACATCCCCTCATCCCAGGGGACTGACTGTCTCACCCTGTGGGCCAAACGAGGGTCTATTTTGTCACGTCGCATGTCAATATACCCATAACTCAGTGCCGTAACCTCTCCGTTTCCCTTGAGATCCATCCCTCTCCCCTCTCCATCTAAAACATGTCACGGTCATTACAGGTGCATGAAAAGACTATCTCAAATATCCGGTTTTCAGATGCAGAAATTAGTGAACGGTGCATCGTATCGCATGACTTTGATATTCCTCTTTCAAGCCCCGAGGTTGCCTATTCAGTGATCCCCAATAAACCCCCCTTCGCCAATATGCTTTTTAGGTAATAAGAGATCATTTTGACAGCAGTGGCTTTTGAAATACATTTTTTTTTCTTTTCTTTTCCTGCACGATATTAAAGTGTTTTTTCGTCCGAATCAAAGAAGTGTACCTGTGGGCAAGCGTAAAGAATTAATCGCAGATGCCCGAGGAGAGAGTGAAACTAGACACTTTTTTAAACACATTTTTGGTGGAAGAAAGTGAGCATTGGGCTTTTGTGTTTTCCTCTGTCATTTGTGTTATGCACATTCATTTGGTGAGCTCATCGGAGGCACCTGTTTGGATAATTTTGGGGTAAAATAATCCAGGGCTATCTTGTTTCATGGGTTTTGTCATGCATGCCTGTGCTTTACAGCACTCAGTGGAGATGAATGCATCAGGTTCAGTGAAGGAGGATCTAAATATGCTTGAAAACTCATTCACACTTTTTTCCTTTAAAGAGAGAAACATCCTCAGAGCAGGATCTCTGTGTGAGAGTGTTGCAGATTAGAGGTTGCTTTTTGCATTCAGTGTGTATGTGTATTGTTTGAGGACTATTTTTTTACGACTAGCACTATGAAAATTAAATACTAATTCCATCATTTTCTTTTCGGCTTAGTCCCTTAATTAATCAGGGTTTGCTACAACGGAATGAACCGCCAACTTATCCAGCACATGTTTTACGCAGCTGATGCCCTTCCAGCTGCAACCTATCACTAGGACACACCTATACATTCTCAGTCACACACAAGTGGACAATTAGCTTACCCAATTCACCTGTACCGCATGTCTTTGGACTTGTGGAAGTAACCGGAGCACCCGGAGGAAACTCATGCAAACATGCGGAAAACATGCAAACTCCACACAGAAATGCCAACTGACCCAGGTGAGGCTCGAACCAGCCACCTTCTTGCTGTGAGGCAAGAGCGCTACCCACTGTGCTACCGCGTTGCCCTATAATTAAAAACTATGATAATTAATATAGTATGCTGCTAGAATCAAACAAAAAGTGCTTTAGGGGTAATTGATGGATATGCTATTTGAATAAGGGATTCATAAAGATACACCAAAAAAAAAAATGTCTGCAAAATTGTTGCAAACAATTTATATGGGTTGAATTTAAACGAACAACTTAAATGTAGTAATGTTCTCCTTAACTTTCATTCATTCATTTCTTTTCAGCTTAGTCCCTTTATTAATCTGGGATCACCACAGCAAAATGAACCGCCAACTTATCCAGCACGTTTTTACGCAGCAGATGCCCTTCCAGCTGCAATCCATCTCTGGGAAACATCAGACACACACACTCATTCACACTTATACACTACGGACAATTTCTAGCATACCCAATTCACCTGTACCGCATCTCTTTGGACTGTGGGGGAAACCGGAGCATCCGGAGAAAACCCACGCGAATGCAGGGAGAACATGTAAACTCCACACAGAAACGCCAACTGACCCAGCCGAGGCTCGAACCCGTGACCTTCTTGCTGTGAGGCAATTGTGCAACCCATTGAGCCACCGTGCTGCACATATTAGAAAAATGATTAATTTAAATAAATATTCATAATTTATTGTCCTCTGGCTGGAAGGCAAATTTGAATATTTTTTTCAAAATTATATTATATCAAAAATGATCTGTGCATAGAATATCTTTATATCGTGAATATATTTTATTTTGTTGAGTGAATTGTTTAAACGTCTGAATGTTTTTCCAAATGCTTTTTAATGCTCTCTTTGATGACCTAAAATGTGTAAGTTGTTTTTTTATATTTATCATCAAGTTACTTTTTTAAAATACTTTTATTGTTTCAGAAAAATGTGATACATATAAACTGTATTAGTAACCAAATACCAATCAAAGAACACCCACCTCATCCCGACATAGTCACAAAATAAATATACACATACCAAAAAAAATTAATAAATTACAAAAATAATAAAAGTAATAATAATAATAATAATAAGGCCAATTTTGTTAAGAAAAGACAGAGAAAGTTATTAGTTTTAGTTATAATACTACTAATTTATATCAATACGTTTTTATTTATAATATCCCAATTATATTATTTATTCAATAATATATGTTTATTATTAAAATATTAAATTAAAATAAAATATTAAAAGTGAATTTTTGCTGTATATAATGTGCTTTCCAGTGTTTATCACTTAGTGTGGCAACAAATGTTGTTCTTTATCCATTCATTAATTCATTTTCTTTTCGGTTTAGTCCCTTTATTAATCAGTGGTTACTTATCCAGCATATGTTTTATGTAGCGGATGCAGCTTCCAGCTGCAACCCAAAACAGGGAAAAAGTTGTTTTTTAATATTGTCATCTTTGGTTTACCTATTTTTTTTTATACAAATGTCACTTAATACACAATAAAATAAATTAATTTGCTTGTATAATTTAAAACATCTATACAATTCTTTATAAACATTTAATCAAACGGCCCCGTGCCATCATGTTTACAACAGTTATCTCGTAGGAAGATAATCTTCCACGTGCATAGTGCAGAATAATATTCCAGTAGGTGGGCGTGGTGCCTGCATGTCGGGACACGCCCACTTCCAGCACACTTCATAATTCCTCTCTTTTTGCTGCTGCTCAGAATGGGCGGGTATATAAACATCCACGAGTAACAGGTAGGTACAATCATTCTCTGAATTTTCAAAGAGACACAAAAAACCGTCCTCCTTTGCAATGCCCCTAAACACATGCGAATACCAACTGCTGTTTCTGCTCTGTTTTCTGATGAAAAGCTGTCACGCTTTCAAAAATGATGCTACTGAAGAGTTTAACAGGCACGCGCTCGCATCGGCTCAAGAGACTCCGAATAACGCGTCGTTAAACCGAGCTCGCAACGGAGGAAGAAGACCAGAGAGTCGCCACCAGACCGGTACGTGTTTATCACCACGTTTTCACTCTTGTGTTAACTGTACTTTTGTAGGTTTATTCTAATATTAACGCATACAAATGATTAAAATAGAAAAGGTTGATATCTATCTATCTATCTATCTATCTATCTATCTATCTATCTATCCATCCATCCATCCATCCATCCATCCATTCATCCATCTATCTATCTATCTTTCTAGTTGTCTGTCTTTCTGTCTGTCTTTGTCTAACCGTCTCTATCCATCTATCTGTCTCTGTTTGTCTGTCTATTCATCTGGCTCTATCCGTCTGTCTGTCTGTCCGTATATTTGTCTGTCTGTTTTTCTGCATATCCACCTGCTTGTCTATCTATCTATCTATCTATCTATCTATCTATCTATCTATCTATCTATCTATCTATCTATCTATCTATCTATCTATCTATCTATCTATCTATCTATCTATCTATCTATCTATCTATCTGTCTGTCTGTCTGTCTGTCTGTCTGTCTGTCTGTCTGTCTGTCTGTCTGTCTGTCCATCTGTCTATCTATCTACCGTCTGTCTGTCTGTCTGTCTGTCTATTTTTATTTGCCATCCATCCATTTGTCTGTCCATCCCTTCGTCTGGTTTTCTGTCTAACATTATGTATCATTTAAAATCCCACTGTAATTCTTCATCCTGGTTTTAAAAGCAACATCTATTTTCCAGAACAGCACCAGGTCGGCTGCAGGGAGCTGAGGTCCACTAAGTATATATCTGATGGCCAGTGCACCAGCCTGAACCCAGTCAAGGAGTTGGTGTGTGCTGGTGAATGTCTGCCCACCCACCTGCTGCCCAACTGGATCGGTGGAGGTCACTACTGGAGCAGACGGGATGCCCAGGAGTGGCGCTGTGTCACCGACCGCACACGAACCCAGCGCATTAAACTCCAGTGCCAGGATGGCACCACACGCACATACAAAATCACAGCTGTCACCTCCTGCACATGCAAGAGATACACTCGCCAAAACAACGAGTCCTCTCATGCACCTCAGAGTCACTCAAAGGATCATCCACTGCAGAGCCCCAAGAAGAAAAAAAGCAAAAATAAAAACTCCAAGCTTACTTCTAAAAACAAAGAGATTTGATATCATTTAGATATCATTTATTGACCATCATGACCCTGCTCATGGAAGGAACCTGACTATGAACTACAGTTACACTGACTTGAACTGCAATAATATGTACAACTGGTTTTATATTTTCAGGTATGGATTCTTTTACGACTGTGCATAAATATATGCATGTGTGTGTGTGTGTGTGTTTATGCACTTTTTAAGTGTAATATGGGTAATATTTTGTACAAATAATGCTTTGACAGACAAAAGTTTTTTGTTTTTTTTAACTGAACTTTTACTAAATCTATACCCAGCTATCAATAGTTCTCAGTCGCTTTAGTACATTTCTTAAATCAGAATTCAAATTCTCAAAACTACTTGTTTCATCTTCACATCATTGTGTCACTTGTACACAACAACAACAAAAAAAACAGTTTCTTGTTTCTATGAACAAGATGCAAATGCTTTGGTCATCCATGCAAGTGATTATATACAATTTTCTGCTGTTTCCTCCATTATCAATTGCTTACTCTGAAGAAATTGATGTCTGCAAACTTGTTGCAAACAATTTATGTGTTGAATTTAAACAAATTATATTTAGTCATGTTCAACTTAATCTGTTTAAATTCAACCCAAATAAATTGTTTACAACCACTTAACTTCAAAAAAGAGTAAATCCAAGAATTATCTCTGAATACTTTTTTTTAAAGCATGTCCTGTTGAACAAAATGTTTTACAATGGTTTATGTCTGAATAGTCTCACCGCCCCACAACATAGGCATTAGTTCATAGCATAAATCTTTACATGCAAAATGCTTGAATAAGTTGTCATAATATTTTGTCATTATGCTTTTTTCTATACATTTCTATTAGACATTTTTCTAAATCTGTCCTGGGAACTGGTAAATTGTTCCAGTTGAATCTTTGCTGTAATGAAGGTGCATCCCATGAACCATCAAGTGTATATGTACAGTTTTAAGCATAATTGAGTACACCCCATTTTGAAAAAGAATATTTTTATCCATTTCTCAGTGAATAGGCAATGTATTTTTGTGCATTTAACAAAACAGATTTATTAAACAGATATTTTTATTAAAATAATATTTTAGTCATCAAAAATATTTAGAAATAGAAAGATAATACAACTAAATTCAAGGAAAATATTGCAAAAAGAAGTAAAACCTACAAAATTTCAACACAATTATTTTGCTTATCTTGATTTTTCCTCTTTTTTTAATTTGTATTTACTGTAATATTTTTCTATAACATATAAACTTGGGTGTACTAGTTTTTGGACAGTTATCATAGGTTATTTTGTTAGATTAGCTCAAATTTGGCTTCACTGAATAATCTAATGTATATGCACAAATTTAATATTGTATACCTTCCTATTAAAAATATAAATTTAAAAGATAGATTTGTGAGGGGTGTACTTATATATGCTGAGCATTGTGTAAGATATACAGCACTACATTTACAGTTTTCCCTAAGGAGTGTGTCCTATGTTCACATGTCTAATTTTCTTTTTCTTTGTGGTATGCAGTGCTGTTTTTTCCCTTTCTGACTCACGATGACATGGTCTGTAAACAAATTACAGTACAAACAGTAAAAGCATGAATGTCCAGTCTCTTGTAATCAAACTTCCACAATATTTGTAATCAAAACCATAGCCATAGTTTACGTCAGAACACCCCTCCAGAGTACACAGTTGTATTGACAACATAACTAAGTCATTTGACTGTCTTATCCATATAAGAACTTGTCATTTTGATGGCACTGACATGTTCATTGACACAGTAATTCAGTTTTGAGAGATAAACTAAGGATTTTGAGGAAGAGACTGGCTTTTGCAGGTAATCCATGGTGTTTTGTTATTTGTACATGTTGTTGAAATGCTCTTACTGTTGTGCAAATTTTGATTCTGTTCTGAAAAATGTACCAAAGCGACTTTTTTGCCACAACTAAATTGTTTTATGTTCAATCCACTTAAATTTGTAAAAACTAACAAGTTAACTTGGTACCTTCATGTTGTCCCAGCACAATTTGATTTTGTGGAACCCAACATTTTTTACAGTGCATGTAGTAGATTTTGAATAGAGTTACATCCATCTATTTTTATATAATTTCAAGATGATATTTACGCAGCTGAATGCACATGTATACAATAAATTAAGTAGTTTACATAATGCTGTTTTGTATCATTTTGTTCACGGAAACTGTCGCTAAAGGCAAGGTAGTAGAATTACACATGGAGGCAGTAACTATGTAAGAAATGGGGAATTAGTTCAAGGAGCGAGTTCTTTCTCACTGCGTTCGTAACTCTACGCTGCATTGTTGTGAAGGGCTGCCCTCACCTGCAGGCGCTTCAGCTACTTTTTTGGCGGCGACATGTTAAAGCTGCTTCAGTGTATCCCATATCCTTTCACTCTGCCATTCTGAAAATCACGTTGCCGTGCCTGAGGTCATATTTCCAAGTTATGAATCAGATTCCTCATGTTATGAATCCAGAGGAAGGTGACACTGCACAGGCTGCTTGCTCTTCAAGTCAATGAAGGAACGATGTGGAATCTATAATAAAGATATTCTTGTCTAAGCAAGCAAAACTGCCAAATCTAGAATGAATGCTTTCCAGTTTTAGATGCATTAGAAGGTCAGCAAACGGACTGTGTGTGGTTTATGGGTGTGCCGTCTGAGACTGGGAAACCGAGGCAGGTAAAATCACGAGTCTAACAGGAAGACGTCTTTAAAGGATGTCTGATGTCTTTGGTGTGTTGACAGGTGCAGTCAGAAATGTGCTTTTGTCACAGCAGAGCACCGATTCTCCATCTATAATTATCCCTGACAGCAGATTTGCCTCCAGAGAGTTTGAGATGCAAGGACCACCTGCTGGTATTTATAAGCTCAATTACCAAATGCATTCCTTAAAGAGAGAGTTGCTGTGATCTACAAAACTCAAGAGTACTCCCACATACTGCGGTATTCAAATGAAGGGTTTTCCTTGGTTATGTTTTGTTTACTCAAAAATTCTGAACTGAGAACACATTTAATCCTTATGAAAACCAAATTAAAGTTATTTGGGGGGTTTTATCTTAAAGTGATGGTCCACTAAATTAATTTTATGTTGTCATTAAAGAGTTAGTTCACCAAAAAAATTAATTATATTATAAATTACTCATCCTCATGTCGTTCCAATCCCCAGAGATATTTTTTTCATCTTAAAAATACAAATTAAGATATTTTTAAATGAAACGAGCTCTCTGACCATCCACACAGAAACGATCCAGAAATGTTCAAAGTCCAGAAAAAAACAATATTTTCAAAACTTAAAAAAAGAAACAGTTTAACTTTAATCATAAAAAGCTCCACAAAAGTAAGTAACAGGCCATGGTATGAGTTATTAAGGGCAGTATGTGTATTGCCATTAGAGTCAGCAATGCAACACACAATCATTGTATATAGCCTATAGTAAACGTGCACCCCATCAGATGTTGAAAAAAGGGCAACAAAGTCATTTTTCAATTTTTCTTTTAGTACAAAAAAGTATTCTTGGAGCTTCATGCTTAGCCCCTTAACTCACATGAAAAGTTTTTAAAATGTTTTTGGTTCCTTTACTGGACTTTGAATTTCTGGGAATCATTGCTGTATATGGAGGATGAGGGAGCTCTCAGTTATTTTTGGAAAAGCCTGCCCAATCTCATATGCAACTACTTTACCTTTTGTCAGAAAAGTGAATAATTTGTGCAAATTCATTCAATTTCATTCATATGAAAACATTTGCTTTTTAAAAAGAGATGTGGCCCCAAACCCATCTCTACCCCTCACTGAGGAATGAGAAAATGTTTTTATGAGAATGTCCAAAATAATATGGATTAACCACTAAATCAAATGTTGTGACATAGCAATGGAAAACATGAAAATGTTTCATTTACAGCTTTTTTAGCTTTAGTTTTTCATGGCATGGATCATGTGTGAGTCATTTTCTGTTTATTTGTTTGTGTATTCTTCAGTAGCTTTTCATCACCTCACAATTACCAGTTTTAGCAACATATTATTTGACATCTACAGGGGTTGGACAATGAAAATGAAACACCTGGTTTTAGACCACAATAATTCATCAGTATGGTGTAGGGCAGTGGTCCTCAGCCTCCGGAAAAAGGCCCAGTGAAGGACCCGCGAACAGCCAAAGAATGAATCCACAACCCATTTGTCAACAAATGAGGTGGATCCACCGTGTCTGTGCAAGAAGATCAACTGACGGAGATTGCAACTGACGGTGGCTTTTTAGTGACATATCGCGTCATGTCTAGAGTTTGCGCAAGTTTGTTGTTTACATTAAAGGTGCATGGCTTAAGCACAAGCAACGTGACACAATTCACATGACAAGAATTGACCAATTAGCTTCAGCTTGTATGAAATATATACATTTCAGTACAGTAATTACCTCAGACAATCACAAAACACCTAAACACTGCAGTGTTGTATTTTTTCCATAAATAAAACTTGTATCACAGTGACAGCAATGTTTTGTCAGCTTGTCATCCTTTGAGAAAATGGTTGATGGTCACCTAGCAACCTACAACCTAACACAACCCCTATTGTTTGAGCTATTTGGTGCACATGGCTCTCCAGATTGATTTTGTAGTCCTTGGCAGTGAAGCACCAATCGAGCACAAGTCTAGGGCCTAGGGAATGTCATGATATTGCATCCCAAACCATTACTGATCCAGCCCCATGCTTCACTCTGGACATGCAACAGTCTTGGGGGTATGCTTCTTTGGGTGCTTCTCCACACCCTAACTCTCCTCTCTAGATACGCCAGCGAGACACACACCAACAATTTGTCCTCTTTTGAACTCTAACATATCACCTATTTTGTGTGCATTACAATATTTTAAGCAAAACTGTACTATAACGCTGTTGATTAAACCTTCACACTCTGAATGTGCATTTAGTGGTGGTTCTAGTTTGAATAGCACCCACATACCCTTGCCACCCCTATATTTTTAGATGTATTTTTCAATAAATATAAC